TATGCTGTTGGTGTTGCCCTGTTGGGCATGGACATTGACTCACGATTCTTCTGTATCATTCTCAATTGGATGGTTACTCGGTTCCATGTGCTATCTGCTTTGGCTTTGACTACTTGGACTTCAGTGTGATTTTGCATTCTGGATTTCTGTGCTTCGTCCATACTCATGTTCCTCGCAATTTGGTATCGGAGCTGGTTTGATCGCCACTTACCTTCGGCATGCTGGCGTTATACAGACTTGGTGCATTGACGATGCTTCTTCGCAGTTGGTACTTGTGACGTCAGGCCATTGTTAGGCGCACGCCCTGGGTAGAGAGGGGTGCGCCGGAAGGCTAATGACGGCAGTGTATGCCGTGGGTTACAGCGGAATGTTTGATAGGTGATGAGAGCATGCTGATGAGGCATTGGACTAAGGTGGCACTGCACTGCGTTGTGGGTGGTACCGAGGTCATGACCGGTCATCAAATGCAACATCAGCTCAATTGGTGAGAAATCTGTGGTTGGGGGCAGCTATCTCCAGGTATGTTGATCCCTTACCTTATCTACCTTCTCAATCTCTTCTTACCGTGAGGAAGTGAGTCCAACTTGAGAGTCCTCTCCTTTGGTGAGGTGTCGTGAGCGCGCTACCTTGAGAGACGACAATCTTCCCGGAAGCATCTGAAGGGCCCTGGTCGAAGCACTTGGGTCACGGTCACCATGCCAACCCAGAGGGAGTAGTGCACGCATGCGATGGCTGCTGTCTTGTTTGGCACTAGCTGCGCTAATAGAAGTTCCTCCGAGCGTGCCAGCCCATGACAAACGCTTTCCAGACCGTATATAAACATTTCTGGTTGGGAGTTCATTGTGAATCTGGCTGTGATCGTCGTCCTGACTGCGACGTTAAATAATTCCTGCAGAGATGCAAGGCGATCTATAAATTCCTCCTGATCACCCAGATCACATGGACAGGAAGGCTCGTCGCCGTACGAGGGTAAATAAGAGTGGTTGGGCTGGCTTGCTCGGTGACAACTTGGGCRCASGGGTGGGCCGAAATACACACGAAGACATTGCCTGCTCAATGATGCTGTTCGGATGGTTGGATTGAGGGGAGGGTAGGTTTCAATTGGTGCTCAACTGTATACACAACAATACCCATCAATCATACATCTGCTACATTGTCTTTTGTACCTTTGATTAGTTGGTTGACGGACTGCTAATCTCACAGACAGATTAGTGCAGGACTGTTGTATGCTACCATAGCCAGTTCTAATTAATGCTGCTGTAAGTGAACCAATCAGGGTGCATCTAGACTATGTAGACGATCTGTGTGAATGTTGTAGACATGCCACTTGATTCGGTAAAGAAGGGGACTCGCCGGACACAACTATATATAGAAAATTTTGTGCCGGTCAGATACATGCTGCGGTAGGATTCCACTAGGGGATTCTAGTGTAGACACTATCTGCCTAACTAATGAGTGGGTCAGATCCTGGTGATGATAGAGCTGACAACAGGAGAACACGTTCGGAAGCATTAAGGGTTCCGCACGTGTTCAGAACCTTAGACTAGGGAGAAGAAAGACGGCTTCGTGCCGAACGTAGAGCCCGTGCTCTAGCAGCGGGGATAGCCGCAGCAAACGCAGCAGCTAGAGAGAGGCAACAGCAGCCAGAGCAGTAGCAATGGCTAACGGCGCAGACTCTGCTGCGTCATCGTCTGCATCCTCGCCAGGGACTAGTGGGACTCATTTGGGAATGCCACTGAGTTCCACAAGTTCCTCGGGCACTTCCGGTTCAACAGGTTCTAGACAGTCTTCTAGTAAAATGGCAGGCTCGCAGTTCAGCCCCATGACCGCACGTGAACGGGAGCTCAGAGAGATCCAACAGGTCGAGAAGCTCCGCCAGAAGTTAGAGGAGGACCTGAAAAAGGCAACCGATAGAGAAAGAGAGATAAAAAGTAGAGCGGCCAGACTTGATACGTTAGAGGCTGACAAGGCTGCGTTGGACGAATCGAGTTTGTCTGACACCCTGAAAGTGTTGAGGGACAACATGTTATCACTGCATGCGCACGTAGACAGCAGGATGGACTTCATGCAAAGCACTTTGGACAAGATCCTGGATGCATTGACAAAGCCAGGATTCCGGCCACCAGCACAATCGTCGTTGCCGTTAACGACGATGTCAGGTCCCAAGCTGGCACACAACCAAGTGGTACGTCTGCAGCAGCAGCACATACTGTTGCATCTTCTTCTTCGGGTCCAACGGTGATTGCTACATCACCACAACAACCTGTCCAGCAATTTGGACAGCAGCAAGGTCAATGGTACCCCAAGACCCCAATGAAACCGCCTCTTGCCTTCTCAGGCGAGAGAAAGGACGAGTCCCGGTTTGGGTGAAGGCCAAAAGGACCTTGCCTGAGGACGAAGTGGTAACAACGGCATCTTACCTAGAGGGTAAGGCAGCCAAATGGTTAGATGGTGTAGTTGTGAAGGCCGGGTGCAGGCGACGCATGGCAGATTGACTCTAGACCAATTCATGGAAATGGTAGAAGCTCGATGGCATAATCCACAGGAGGCGCAAAGGGCCACTGATGCCATTAACAAACTGGACCAACGCAAGTTCAGGTCAGTTAGAGAGCTTACGACTACCGTCAAGAGCCTGATCCTCGTCCCAGGCATCAACTACAGTGACCAGTTCCTCTTAACCACGTTTGTTAGATGTCTTCCTGAGAACATGAGGAACTTGCTAACCAGTGAGGCACACACCGAGTACCACACGTTTGAGACATTGTCTAGAAAACTTGGAGGCCACACTAGGCAATGCTCAACCCACCTTAGGGAATGCCTCGAAGAAGAAGAAGAGTCCTCAGGAGTGGAAGAAGGGGGCGAAGTTGATGATGGTTGAGTCTCATGGGACTCAAACTGAAATCGATGAGCTCTCTGACCTGATGGACTACTCAGAGT